GAAAGCAAAACTTACCCTGCTGTAATCCTGCTCGTATGTCGCAGTCACAAAGTATTAAGTGTTTCCGATAATTTTTATTCGTTGAGATTTTCATGAAGCTAGGAAAATTACATAGAAGCGATACTCTTTCGGATGTTTTGAACAGCCATTACACATGTTTTTTCATCGATAAAATGAATGAATGTTTGAAATTGTATTAATATCATTTTGGTTGGTCTTGTGAATTACGAAGTCATAATCATTTAGATAAAATTTGAAAATGTTGAATGATCATCGTATCCCAACAGTATCATCAATTGTATCTCTAGCTTCAAATGAACATGAAATTGAACTTGATAGCACCCGTACGCATAATGATAATCAAAGTATTGGCTCGAATACAAGTTCCTCCCGTAGAAAGTGTAATTCTATTATGAATTATTTTCATAAGATTTCAAAGAGATTTGCCTGTCTCAATGTTGAAAAACGCGGTATTGAACGCATATTACCAGAGGATCGAACTGATCCGACAATTATCAACACGGCAATAATATGGGTAAGAAATCTAGATGTTTGATTTTGAGCTTCCTGCAAAATTTACGATATCTTTTACTTATTTCTATAACTCTGGAGATAAGGCAGCTACAGTGCTCGGAGAAACCTTCGATGAAAGATAAGATAGGTCTTTACTGTTTATCAATTGAGAAATCTTTTCAAAATCAGCTGATTTTGTACTTTTTGAAAAATATCGATATTCTTTATTTGTTTGGCGTTATTTTATTCTTGCCCTCAGTAAATCTCATATGTGAAAGAAATAGTCAATTATAATCACTTGTGATTACGAAAAAGATATGTTAGCGGGACCATTATTATCAGCTTTCAAGAAGAGTTCTTTTTAACAGAATGTATGAAACTGCGTGCTTTGTTTAAAAGGCTGTCGATCTAATCATTTTCGATCTGTTCTGATTTTGAAAATATATTGGAATGATAATCATAAAACAATATTACGAAATTAGAAGACATTTTAATATTTATCTTTTGAAATTTTCATCAGAAAGGGAAATAGTTTAAGTGTTTATCAAAGCTATTGAGCTTAAATATGACGTTTAGATTATTATCGTCATGTATATTTTGTCTCATAGGTCAGTGCAAATCTAATTATACCGTGTTTTGCTGGCGGTACACTTGGCCCAGCAGTATTCAAATTAAACCTCCACGATTCATTTGCAACAATTATCTTTTTCAGTCTACTTGGTATTATTCCGGTAGCAGTAATGGCTTGTTTTGGTCCAGCATCTGGTCTACGCACAATGATCTTTTCTCGTTACAGTTGGGGTTATTATGGTGCTTCAATAATATCAATTACGAATGTTATTGCTTCAATCGGTTGGGCAGCTATTAATAGTATTACTGGTGCTCAAACATTACGTGTTGTATTTAATGATTCATTGCCGGTAGCTGCCGGTATTATTATTATTGGTATTGCATCAATGATCGTCTCATTTATAGGTTATAAATGGATTCATACTTATGAAAGATATTCATGGATACCAGTATTCATAGGATATTGTATACTAGCAGGAGTTGGTGCAAAGTATTTTACAAATTCTGAAATGGTAATATTCGTTAACTTTGAAGAAGTCTATTCTCTGATATATTTGGCCCTTAAAAATAAAATTTCTAATATTTCAAAAAAGTAGAAGAATTTTTGACAAGCGTAAACTTTGGTTTGTTTTTTTGTCAAGTCAAAATCAGCCTTGTGATCAAGGACGAAAAAATGCTGCCAAAAACTGTGTTGAAAACGTACAGGATTCTTTAAAGAAGACAGAAAAAAAAACGCTTGTTTGTTTTCATAATCGACTTTACATGAAAATGAGATCATGCTGTTTATTGATGTGAGAAGTTTAAAAATCAATCAATGACATTCTGTAAATTTACATCCTATATAGGTATCTTACAATATAACTGTACCAAACAATAATAGTTATCGTCTGAAAGTTTCTCGTATTTTAAGTTTTGGCGCAACATGTTTTGGTGCTTCAATTAGTTGGTGTGCATGTTCAGCTGATTACAATACATATTTTCCTGAAGATACAAGTCAATTAAAAATCTTTCTTTACACTTATCTTGGTAATCTTTTGTCAATGATTCCAATACAATTACTTGGTGCAGCTACTTATACTGGTACATATACAAATGAAAAGTGGAATCGTGCATATGAAACAAACAGTATTGGTGGATTATTGGGTGCTAGCCTATCATCTCTTGGTGGTTTTGGTAAATTTCTACTCATTCTCTTTGCACTGTCAACTATTGCATGTAATATACCAAATATCTATTCTTTATCATTATCTGCACAAGTAATTACACCAATATTTAATCGTATACCGCGTGTTTTATATACAGTTATTGGTACTGTAATCTATATTCTATTAGCTATTGTTGCTGCAAGTAAATTTAATGATTCATTAACATCAATTATGGGTGTATCTTCATATTGGTTTGCAATATTTATTGTTATTGTATTTGAAGATCATCTATTATTTCGACGTTGTTCATTTAAAAATTATAATTTTGATATTTGGGATAGTTATAAGCTGTTACCAATTAGTTTAGCTGCAATTCTATCTGGAATTGTTGGAATTGTTGGTATTACACTTGGAATGTCACAAACTTGGTTTAATGGACCAATTTCAAAAGCTATTGCACGTGATACGGAAGCACAGGGTGCAGATGTCGGCTTTGAAGTTGGTTTTATTTTTACAGCAGTTACTTTTCCATTATTTAGACTTATTGAATTATATTTTGTTGAACGATGAATGTTTCTTGTATATTTAAAGATGATAAGATTATAGACATTAGTATAATCATTATTAGAAGCCAAAAAGTGGGTGAGTGTGTACTCCTCCTCCCCTAAATAATTAAAAATTGTTCATTATTACTCGGTAAAAATATCAGAATTTTTCAAATTGTTGACTACGTTTATAAAACATTTTTTTATACATTTTTAGTAAAACATAATTATCAAATTAAGTATATGAATTTTCATAAAAATTACTGTTAGGTAACAAGTGATCATTAATAACCAAGATTTTTGTATCTATGATTAATATAGTTGATTGAAATACAACGTTCATTATGCTTTTCAATTTATTAAACAAGTCAAAACCAAAACTCCATCTATAACGAGAGAAAACAAAAACAGAATTCTTTTAGATGTGCTAATGGTCTTATCATAATTCATCCTTTCACCTTGGCACAATTCTGTCACGTTTCTTCTCTTGTTAAGTTCTTTTGTTACAGTTCTTAAGTTATCATAACTGACTGTTAATTGGGTTAGACGTAGTATATGTGTCCTTGCTTCATTTAAACATTGTTTAACATCTTCAATATTTCCAATAAAGATATATAAAAGGAAAATTATTCAATAATGGGATTGAGCAATTTGCATGAAGAATTCATGGTTGAATGAAACCAGAGCTGGACAAAGTACTCCTACTCGAGTACGATTTTTGCGGTACTCGTATTCGAGCAAACCCGTACTCGCCTAGCTCTGAATTGAACTATATTTTGTGTCATCAAATACATAACATAATGGAATATCACATTTGAAAAATGTATTGCCAATATCTATCAGACAATCAAAACCAAAAGGTATTAAAAAAATGTAACATGTAGCTTTACGCTTTATCATATAATTTACTATACTAGCCAGTTAGTACCGTCCTATATTTGTGAAAGTTCGTTGAATATCTTCATTAGAGACACACAGAAATAGACCAATAGTATGTCGATAATTACAAGTATAAAATGTGAATGAATGAAGTTGCGGTATATAAGGAAGAATTGCATTTTGAAGCATGAGTACCATCGATAAATGTACTTCGATTTTCTATACGAAGATATACAATGAATTTTTCTAGGTAGGACACGTACGACGAAGAAGAGATAATATTTGATTATCATATTGGTCAATTAGAACGTAGCATTTTCATGAGCAACATTTCAAATACGGGACACCATCCTATAGAATAAAAAAGAATGAATTTTTTTTATGAATAAATCTAATTTACCATGTTATGAACGATTAATGAAGAGTGATCTAGTTAATATACACGAACAATAATTGTTATCAACTGTTTGAGTCGATCCTTAAGGAAATGAAGACACATCATCAAAATTGTTCGCATTGATACATAAATAAGTAAAAGTTGAAGAAGAAAAAATATTTGACGATGAATTACAGAGCGACAAGCCAGGATATGATCCATTGGGTGTTTCAATAGTTCTCCAATGTTTTAAGTTTGAAATAATTCAAGATATGTGCTTATACATTTATAGTTTAATTTTTCGACCAATCTCTGGTACTGATTTTCTCCATTACCTACAGTCACACCTATCCACATCCACACTGTGACTTCACTTCATATTCAGTTTACATTCATGAAATATGACACCCTTTCTATGCACATTTTTTTAAACGAATGTGAGACACATGATGGTATTTGAATGCAAAAAATATCTATAATAGAAAATTCCAAATTTTATTTAAAACAAAAAAAAATCTTCTTCAGAGCCAAAATAACAAGCTATACTCTGAATTCATGATAACTGGTTGATCATTTTAGTAACATAAAACAGATTTTATTCTTATCTTTTTTATCTCAATGACGTATCTATCTTTATTTTTTTGCTTTCATCCGTAAATATCGTACTATAAGTTTCATTTGAAAAATCCAACAAAAAGATTTTTTTAATATTGATGGACAATTATTTCTTCTCATATTTTTTAATATATAATTAAAAAATATTTATATGCTCTTCATTAACAACAATATTGATGGAATTTTTCTCGTCATAAAAAGACTCATTTGGAATGACAGTATTCTATTCAATTTATCAAAAAAAGCACTAATTATTGCTACTCATGATTCACAACTTCGCTTTTGTATAATAAAAAAATACAAAAATACAAAAAAAAACAATACCAAAAAATCAATTTTTTAATTAGATCTAAAATATTAAACCATAATGGTTGGTAAAATCCACATAGCAATAATCGATGTGAGGAATGATGATATAAGATTTACTTGATTATTTGATAATATGTTTCGACCAGATATTCGTTCAATTGATGGTCCAGGTAGTTGCACTGTAACATTACGTTCTCTATCATAACCACTAAATTGTAAAGTTGCACCTAATAATGAATCAATTGAAGAACCTAGAAAACCAAATAATGTACAATAGAGAAGTAATTGAATATTCATTGTCCATGTATTTATCATATAATCTGATCGACAAAATATCATATTACCAACAATATAACTAAGACCAATAATAAAACCACCGAATAAGCTAAATAAACATCCAACAGGTGATATGCCACCATTTGTACCAACAGGAACAATTCGAAATGGATTCGTTAATAAACGTGGATTATTTTGAGCAAGAACAGAACCAAGTTCTGATGCTATAATAAAAAATTATATTTCAAATAACGAGTATTCCAAAAGCTGTGAAACTATTTTAAAACTCATTGTTCTCGCATTCAATAAAAGCAAAGTCTTTTCTTTTGAACTTTGGCAGATTATTGTACTGACTTGGTACTAAATAACTATAAAGTTTCAGATCAATAGCTGTAACTATAGATGAGAAATTATGACAACACTATCATGCACTATTTTATTAATTGTTTAATTACTTGAGTTGATAAAATGTGATACAAACATATTGCGGCAATGCTGTACAAGTCAACTCATGAATTGAATTGAGTTGACAGCAACATGATTTTTTTGTATTTGACAAATTGTTTGTTACCAAAAGATTTTGATGATTTCCGTCACCCTCTGCTTAAAAAATATGTTTTTTTTTTATCAAAAAAAACCAGCAAATCTTTGTGGGTCTTCATTCTATATATTGTATTCTTTTTTTTTTTTGTTTAAAACAGGATACCTTGATGCAGGGCAAGACAAAGTCCGTTCTTGAATTAAACATTATTATTATTATTCTATAAAAAAGCACTTATATAGATGTACAAATTTAAAAAGAAAAGCATTCTGTCAGGCACTGCATCTTGACATTTTTTTTCAAACAAAAATTGTGTTGCATAACTAGTTGACATTGGACCGATAGAATACATCCAAGGTACATGAAAATGGAATTAAACATATTCTTATTTCTTTTTGTTGGAAAATAATAGATAAATATCAGCATGATTAAAATTGGTAATTCATCAATAGGGTAATTAAACATAGAAACATAGAGAAATTGATATGCGTTGTTTTTTTTTATTGTGACAAGCTGCTTTGCTTTAAACATATCAACTTACGTAACTAGAAAATTGATAAAATAATGCATGGTAATGCTGTTACAGTTTCTTATCTATAGTAAAAGCTATCGACCTAAAACTTTGTAATTATTTAGGACTAAGCAGGTATAATAATGTGACAAAATTACAAAAAAAAACAAGACTTTGTCAATTTACCTAATGTATCCCCACAGCAACAAACCATAGTAAAAAGAAAACCAATTGAATAAATAGATGATTCGTTTTTATTATCAATCGGTAATGAAATACCAGAATAATTTGTTTTCCAACAATAACCTATTGCATAAAAACATGCTAGTGCACCATTACATAACACTTGAATATGACTACGTGCAGTCTTTTTATACTTTTTTGTTTCTATTTGATGATTATTTTCATTAATTTTTGATTGTTTTATATCAAATTTATAACGTGTTGCAAATGAACCACTTAAAACAAATGTCATCATAACAAATAAAAAAACAATATTTGAATAAGCTATTATTAAACAAAGTATAAAACCAGTTAAAACTCCTGAAAGTGTAAATGAACCACGTTTATATTCAATAATTGTAATAAATAGAACAAGAAACAATGAACGAAGAAGTTTAAATATCGATATATCCATGTTTCGTTCAGTCTACAATATAAAATAATATGTTCTGTTTTTTGTGCTTTCTGTTTTTTTTTCACAAAACAAAAACATATAAAAGATGTGCTTTTTTTTCATTGTGTTTCACATTATTGCATGCAATCATAAGTGATTGTCTGTATTCGAAATCTCTAGGTGATATATCATTAAAAAAAAAAAAAAAAGATGAACTGTATTATTTTCTTCTTCTCCTTCTTTGTGGAAACAAACAAAAAAAAAAATCAGCGGCCAAAATCATCACACGCGACAGAAAAACAAACTGAATGCAAAGAGACATAGTTATAAAAAGATCGAATACAATGGATATATGCATACGTATATATATAATATAGAAGTTATGTTGGTTGATTTCTTTCTTTTAATATTCGAAAAGAAAAGGGTATAAGCAAATAAAAGACAACAAAAAGATTTACAGCGATACAAGACAAGAGAAATTAAACAAAAGAAGAAGAAAGAACAAAAGAAAAATTAAAGATATATGTTTTAAATTTTATTTTTGACAAAATTCAATTTGATCGTGAAGAACGTCTTTTGTTTATTCATGAAGGAACTAGAAAAAGAAACACGACAAAAGAAAATCCATTTACTTGCTACCACAACATCCACCTTCAGTTCCAGTTACTCTTTGATTTGACGAGGAATTAACTGTTATTGATTGACCATTTTGACCACGCCCTCGTCCACCACTTGTATTTGATGTATCTTGATTTTTTGGTAATTTTCTTGCTATGGCCATAAATATATCATTAACATTCATTGATGTTTTAGCTGATGTTTCCATAAATATTAAACCATTTTCTTCTGCATATGTTTGAGCATCAACAATTTCAACTTGTCGTTTAGTAGCTAAATCAGCTTTATTACCAGCTAAAGCAATAACAATATTTGGTGCTGCTTGACGTTGTAATTCTTTAACCCATACTTTAGCTCGACTAAATGTATCTGCATTTGTTATGTCATAAACAACAATTGCAGCTTGAGCACCACGATAATACATTGGAGCTAATGAATGATATCTAACAATGAAAGACAATAAATAGAAATTCTTTGATTTAAAAAAGAAAAGATGATTTTAATTTACCTTTCTTGTCCAGCTGTATCCCATAATTCAAGTTTAACTGTTGTATCATCAACAGATACAGTTTGAGTAAGAAATGCTGCACCTATAGTTGATTCTTGATATTCATGAAATTGTCCTTTAACAAAACGAAGTACCAAGGATGATTTACCAACAGCTGATTCACCTAATAAAACCATTTTAAATTGACATGTTCGTGCTGCTTGACCAGTAGCTGATTGACGACTATTACTCGTCATTTTATTTCAAATGGGAAATTAAATATAAGGGAATGGGAAGAAAGAATATATCTAAAATCAAAACTAATTAATCAGACGATTGAAAAAGAATATGAAAACAAACATATGACGACAAAACAGCCATGATAGACAAGTGCATGTGTGCATCTCTAACGAAGTGATTTTTTTCTATTCAAGACATTTAGTGACATCTGTTTCGAAGAAGATTTGATAATAAACATTGGTTTTATATGTATTAGCAAATAGATTTGATTGAAAAATTAATTAGAACAAAGAAACTATTTTGAAATTAGTTTATCTATACGATAAATTTTCAATCAATCCTATTCAAGAGAATAGAACTGGTAAGACACACCAGCTGATGTTGTTCTACGCCTTATTCATAATTGATATATAAATATATATGTTTGTGTTTTTGCTTGTTAGGTTTCTAATTTTTTGGCAGATTTGATAACATATTCATCTTCCAATGGGTAATTGTTGGAGAAGACCAGATGATCGTGCTAGTCTTCTACCAATGCCTTCTACTCGTTATGCTCCAGTAACAGTATCTTCCTCGAGTTCAAATTCAACTGCTGCTCCGTCTGATACATCTATCCCTAAAGTAAACATTTTCTTTTTTTTTTATTCTAAAATAATTGAATCCATTTTTCAGTTAGTTGCAATAAATCGATCATCTGGTAATTCATCCATAACCACAGATATTAGTCTTATTAAAGAAGCACAATGTCGAAACCTTTTCGAACATTTATCATTAATTAATTATAATGAAAAACTAATCAAACAAACTGAGTAAATGAAATATTTCTTTTAAAAATTAAATAAAAAATAACGTTCTGTTTTTATTTTGTTACTTTAGTTGTGCTATTTGTCTCATTGATTTTATGCCTAATGAAAAAGTTCGACAATTACCATGTGATGGTGCACATGTATTTCATCCAACATGTATTGATGGATGGTTACAAAAAAGTCTAACATGTCCACAATGTTCAACAAATGTTGATGCTGCACTTCTTCTTAAATTTGTTCCGAATTCGAATAATAATGATGATGATTCATAATTCGTTTTCTTTCTTTTATGTATATAATGCAATATACAAATAGTTTTATTATCATGTTAGTATGTAAATAAGCATTATTGTTGTATTTTTCGTGCATAATTAAAAAAAAAACAAGATAGGAAAACGACGAGATCTGTTTATTTTTCTTTTTGTGATAATTATATATATGTATATGTATGTGTGCATTTTAAATTTGATAAATATTGAATAATTTCTTTCTGTTCTTTTTATACAGTTAATAATAAGAGAATTTTGTTTTTATTGTAAGTATTGAAACGAAAATGAATTATTACGAATAAATACAAAGCTTTGTCTCGTATTTAGCAATGATATATTATCGATTTATCTTGTTTTATTATTTTTCATTGATCGATAAAAAATCTATCTATTATCTGTGTGAATAAAAACCACCAATATAAATAAAGAAACAAAAAGAAAACTCAAACAATCGATTTGTTCTTAACTAGCATCTTTATTTAATTACAACATTTCTACATTCATTTTACAGAGACTTTTGAAACTAAAATCACTGTTTAAAAAACAAAGTCTTTAGTGTAATCTCTTCAGATTTGAAATATGAAACATGATGTATGTGCAGTTACTGTAGATAATCATAGGAAGATTGTTTTTATTCTATCAATGTGAAAAACACATTTTTTCGCCATACTTTTTCAGAAATGTAATATAGAAATAGTTCATATGTTATAACGAGACCTTATTTATAAACGGTATGTGACGGGGGTGCAAATTTTTACTTCTATACTTTAATACCCATTTTTGGATCATGTTTCACAAAAGAATGAGAGAATAAATATGATAAAAGTTATCTTTGTTTCAAAAACCAATTTTCGATTTTTTTATGCTTGTAGATATGGAGTTTATTTGAATATTTTAATATCTTGTGTTTGGGAGAACATTTTGATAGCTCGAACTAATTTTGTTTTTCAATTTAAGTGTATTAAATACTGAAGAGAATCGATCTTTCAAATAGTTTCCTATTGAAAATTATTTAATTTTTTTCTAATAGATGGTGATTCTTTGTAAGATGATATAACACGATCAAAGTCGTATGATAAAATGATGTAGATAGCAAGAACATTTTCTATCCTTGTCTTACAAGAGAATATTTTAAATTGATCAATTGCTTTCTTACCAGAAGCTAGTAGATAAAAAATTATTGACCATGCTAACTCTAAATAGGACCGTAAGAAATCTTTCCAAAATTTCTACATGCTGGTTTTCTAGATAGAAAACCTTTTTTGCCCAAAATTGTTTTTTGTCTGTTACAGATTACAGAACATATTGAAGTATCTCGAAAATATCAACTTTTTCTATTTCAAATCTTTCTTTTTTTGCAGAAAATATTATAGATGCCTATTTACATATCAATGTGAAAATCTTCAGAAAATACTATTGACACTTTAATATACTCTATGATCTAAGTAGATCAAAAAATGATTTTCAAAAAAATATTCGTTCGTCTGGAAAACGAATCTATGAAGACCAGAGCTAAATAATTTACAATCTATTAACTTTCAATGAGAAAGTCAGTGATCAGTTGTAAACGTTCTCTCGTTAGTCTATTTATAATATCTATTAGTCGAAAATAGGAAAATAAATAAATGCAAGAAAAGATGTTATTAAGTTTCGAGAAAATAGAAAAGCGCGTAACTTATAATACCTTCATTTATATATCTCTTTCAACCTGTTCATGCACAAGAGATTTCATTTGCACAATACAATGATTTCTAATCGGACTATATTCATTTTTCTTACTTTATGTTTGATCATGGGAATGATCATTTCATCAGCTCCAGTTGTTCAAAATGAATTAGTAACAAAAATATTTGTTGAAGAAGTGTTTACAAAAGCAGATGATATCAAAGAGAATATTGAACTTTCGGAAATAGCCACCGATAAACTTTTATTTTTCGATCATACTATGATGTCAATTGATGCAAATCTCGAAATACACGATAATCTTCATTTTAAATACGACGATACAACTCTCGGAAATATCTACAACTGAAAATTCTCAATTATTTCAAATGAAATTTTCTGATAATCATTTTTACTAATCCATATCAATCTTAATAAAAATTCAACTTTTTTTCTATCTAATATTGATATTACACCTGTAAATTATTGTGTTCAATTTAGTCTATATATTTTTCATTTCATTTTATTCACATACATTTTTTTTTCAAATGAATAGACAAGCGAAGTCATAAATATCTCTCACTGTTATTCAATCAAATTGTCAAATTTGTTAATTAGATATATAGAGTCTTAATAAAAGCTTGAGATATTGGTTTATTAATTTGTTTGCAAAACTAATATTTCAAGTATGAAACTTTGAAATATTGTAGTCATCGATTTATTATTAAATTAGTTTGTAATATTTGCTTGATTTGTATTCGTGAGATATGATTAATAAAGTTTGTTTTAATTTTTTTCTTTATATATTCTCTTAAATAACAACTAAACATGATTTAAGAGTTGCTTTTATCAATGTGCGGAACCAAAATTTGAAGATTTACCGACAACAATGGTTATATTCAAATGTTTTAGTATTTCGATTGAGACTTAGTCTAAATA